AATAAAAATGTAATGGCTCGTTTCAGCTCACGTTCGAACCATCTTCGCAGATGTTCACAACAGTTATACAAAGATATATCTCACTGTCGATATACGAGATACGAAATACTTTTTATATAAGAAGATACCACACGGAAACAATAATTTTGCTGAATCCAGATTTGAAAATAATTTTTGTTTAGTAATCAAAATAATTTTGTGCAAAAGTCAAAATGATTACTAAAATATCAAAACGTTTTATAGCAATGCTTATCAGTTTTAACATTCCAACAAATTATTTGCAGATGATTCAACAAAAAATTATTTTCAGATCTGTTTTTACCAAAATTTTTAGGTCTTTCAACAAAATCGTTCTTTCCGTGCACAATTGTGGAAACTCGCAAGCAGTATTTTTATTTTGATACAAATTGATGTATTAAATTACTGTACTCTAATAATCGCGCTTGACTCGAGTTCGTTTTTATACATTAATTTTTTGTTAATTAAAAGTATATTAATTAAATATGTTAATTAAAAGTAATGTAGTAGTATATTCAATTCGATTTTACAATGTCTACGAGATTGGCATGGATGAAAGATGACGTTTGGAATAAAAGAAATATTTATCTCATTGAAAAAAAATTGAAAGACAAAAATTGTAATCTACAGGAGATCTTAAGAAAGATTCCTAATTTTTACTTATGTTAATTTTTCTCTTAGTCTTGTCGAACAATATACGAAGAGTCTCATTACGTATTTCTCAGATATGTATACCCAATATAGAGAGTTATACAATTCTTGTCTCTGCACGAGCTGGAGGAGAGATATAAAGGTGCTAGCACAGGGAGCAGGTTGTATAAATTGCGGGTGCGATGGTCTCGCCGCAGCGCAACAAGTCCAAAGAAAAGCCGACGGCACGTGTGCTTGCGCTGCGCACGGTGACGATCGGCGACGGTAAGATGGGGATAAAAGAAGAAAGGGGTGGCGAACAGGGGATGCAGTTCTCCGCAGGCACGTGACTGGGAGCCGTCGACGACGATGGGGGGCTGGATTTACAGTTCCCTCAGGCATACTGCATCTCTCTCACCTAGCCGCAAAGCTCGCAGTTTATGCGACGCCGACGTCGGGATTGACATGCCTCCGCGTGTGCATGCATGCTTTTATCGATTATTCCTGACGACGACTGACTCTACACGAGACATTGTTACCGCGTGATTTTTCTGAAAATTCGTACGCGGCTTTCGCTCGGAATGAAATTTGCCCGCAAGCTTTGCCGCGGTATTCGTGAGGAGTAAGTTGAAAATTGCGGTTACGATGTTCTCATGTTCTTCTTTCATATCTCAATTTTTGACGGTTACATATAAGTTTTCTATAAAGAAGCAGAAAACAACCAAAAATTAAAAATAACTTTTAAAAATCAATTATTTATTTTACGATCGACGAATAAAAATTAAATATCGGTTGGCTCGAAAATAATATTCTTCGAATTGTAAGCAGTAAAGAATTTTCACATTTTACGTAAGTAATTTTTTACTAACTTGAAGCTGTTTAACACAAAACGACATTAATTAAAGAGTTAATCTTGTTTAATTGATGTTTTTAAGAAGAAGAATTAAAATAGATCATTTCTTATTCAAAGAATTTTAAAAAAGATTTGTGAATTTTAAGATCTCTAAGAAAGTAAGAAGCTTAAAATTTCATTCCGCAGAATGAATGCTTGACAATTACGTACTTTTACAACTTATCCTCACTTCACCAAGTCTATTAATGAAACCCTGATATATTTCCTATTAGGATTTCAATGAAATATCTTTTTCACACAGGAAAGAAAGTAAAGACGGATAATAGCGGATAATTAGCGACTTGTAATTTTTGAGGTTCTCTGACGCAGCAGTAATTAATCCAAAAGATATTAAAGGGGTCCTTTCTTATATTATATTCAACAATAGCTAAAAATTCCTTTTATAGATCACTTGTAATATCTAACCCGAAAATCGACGTAAAAAATATTTCCAAACAACGGTATTCTGTGGCGTCCCTTGATAAACTTGATTAAGACTTAGCTATTATTAGCATGTATATAAAATCGTTTCTAGACGAAAGAGAGAGAGCACTTTCTTACTCTTTTTTTTTTCTCACGGAATAGAAAATATTCACTCCACACAGGTCTCCGTGGCAGGTATCAGTTGGCGCATTGTGCGGATATTCCAATATCCCCTATAGATCTTCCGGAGCTAACGAGGTCGCCCAGGTCATCCGCGCTCGCTCCGGGGCGCCGATATCGAATTCCACGTGCCGCGGATCTCATTTGGTAAGGATGATGAACGTAGATCGCTAACTTTGCATCGCTTCAACGCGGAACGATATTGCCAGCGACTCAGGTCGTTTGAATATAAAGTACACGTGACGAGATGATGTCTTTCGTTCTCCAAACGACGTTGCACATTGCATATTCCATATATATATATATATCGCATGATTGCCCTTTCACAAGCACTGGAGAGCAAATTAAGAATAATGGGGATTCTGTTTTAATGATGCACGGGAAGAACGATTTTATTGAGACCTAAAAGTTTTGCTAAAAACAGATCTGAAAATAATTTTTTATTTAATCACCAAAATAATTTGTTGGAATGTTAAAACTGATAAGTGTTGCTATAAAACGTTTTGACATTCTAGCAATCATTTTTGACTTTCGCACAAAATAATTTTGATTATTGAGCAAAAATTCTTTTCAGATCTGGATTCAGCAAAATTGTTCTTGTACCGTGTGGGGATCTCATTTCGGTCAATTGCAAATTATTCATTTATTGTAAAGTTATATTAAACATTTAATATGGATCGAACTTAAATAATACGCATAAAATCTTGTTTTTTATGCGTCTTGTATTTAAATAATATTAGTTATTAATTTAAGGCTTAATTAAAGGCTAAATTATGAAAGCATATAAAAAGAATTTCTAGTTTATTTGCATAAAATTCAAAACTCGGGTTTGTTGAAAAATTATATTTAAACTTTTTACAGAATTTTTGTTAAAAATTATATTTATTTGTGTTAATAAAAGCATTTTTATCGCTCTAAAAATTTCACATAAAATAACTTTATCGAAAAATCTTTACTTATATATAACTATATAAAAAAATGTGTAACTGAAAATAAAAAAAATCAAGAAAATTTTTAATAATAATGCTTTCTGATTATTGTGGCGCCATCTCTTGAGAAAGGAGCGTTCTAATACTTGATTCTAAAACGTATGATAATACAAGAGCGTTGCAAAAAACTCTCTCTTTTTAGCTTTGCAATTTATAAAATGCAGAATAGTTCAGTTAAGATCGATTATCGTATTTCATTTCATTGACTTTCTACTCATATTTTCTCTTAGCTTTTCTTTTTCTTTATATAATTTTAAAAAAGAAAACTTGCTTCGCAAGTTGAATTTCTTTTTGGTGACGATTTTGTACGGAATAAAACTGTGATCCGTCAAAAATTCAATATTTTCGCAAAATATTTAATGTTGATAAGTTTTGCAGGAAGTTTTGCTGCAATTTTTTCTCGAAGGAAACTTTAGCTCCGATATCGAGCTCTGTTTCACAGCGATACTTCTGCATATAGCGTTGCCTACCGCCGCGGATCTGATTCGGACATAAATTTCGACCGACACTCTGTATTAATTAATCGTACGTAGAGCCAACGTTACCAAATCGCGCGCGACAGGATGTTTTTGATTTATACCCTCTTTGCCTCGTGTGTACTACACGTCCGCCTGACTAAATACGGATATTATCGAGCGAATAATGGCTATTAGAATTTATTCAGTGGTCCAATTCCTCTCCCCCCCCCCCTCTCTCTC